TACCGGTATATTGGATTCAATAGTTATTGAATCAGATAGTAGACTGTATCATAATTTATTCATTATAAAATAATATAAGACTTAATTTAACTACTGATTGCATTAATCATTAAACTCTGATTTGAATGAAGCAAGTTGAAATACATTTATAACATGGGCACTGTAAATTCTTGCACTGTTCTAAACATACCCTGCTCCCAATAGTTAACAAATTCAAACTCAACCAATAGATCCATTGGTGGACAAATGGCGTAAATCTTGAGATATTCTTTGAAAGAATCACTTGAAATGGTGACCATAATTAAAATGTAAGTTAATTGACAATTAATAAAACAAAACTTAAAAATATTGAAAACTACAGAAATAGTACACGTGTTAACTGTACGACCCATTGATGTGTTTACGATAGTGATCAGGGTACATAAATTGAGTGCATTTAATGACATACAGTTAATACTGTTAAATACATGACATTTGTGATTAGATAACCATATACTGCAAGTGACACCTAATCCCAATCAACACAATCGGTGGTAAGTGTGCAACAAGTAGTGACAAAATGTTTGGTTTACTGCAAAAGAGTCGGAGTTTGTATAGACTGTCGGCACCCGTTGTCCATCGGAGTCAATGGTTAAGCTCTTCGGCGGCCAATGACGTGTCGGCGAAGTTCGCGAGGGCTCAGGAGGAGCTCAAGAAGTTGAAGTCCGAGCCCTCCAACGACGTGAAGCTGCGATTGTATGGTCTCTTCAAGCAGTCGACGTCCGGAGAGTGCAAGACATCCAAACCGTCGGCCATTAAGTTCGTAGAGGCGGCCAAATGGCAGGCGTGGAGTCAATTGGGATCCATGTCTTCGGCCGATGCCATGGCTCAGTACGCTGAGACTGTCCACCTGTTGCTGAAGGAGGCGGGTGTCGACTCGGCCTCTGGAGGGTCGGCCGCCACCGATGCTGACGCCTCTGCCGCTGATAATGACATACTCGTGGAGAACAGGAGTGGTGTTTGTGTGATAACTCTGAACAGACCGAAGAAGTATAACGCCATCACTGATGCCATGTATGAGGACGTGATTACGGCGTTGAATAAGGCGTCGGCCGACGAGTCCATCAAATTAGCACTGATTACAGCCAACGGCGACTACTACTCGAGTGGCAACGACTTGAGTACGGATGACATATTGATTGGGGTTTTGGTGATCACTCGCTAACCACTGCTTATCTCCCAATTGTAGGTAACTTTCAGAAGGCATTCAAGATATTCAAGGGAGACATGAATGCCGGCGCCACGCAGGCCGCCAAGACTTTACAGCGATTCGTCGCCGCATTCATTGACTTTCAAAAGCCACTGATCGGTGCAGTGAACGGACCCGCCATCGGCATCGCTGTCACCACATTAGGTCTGATGGACGTCGTGGTGGCCAGCGATACGGCAACCTTTCAGACGCCCTTCTCATCGCTGGGACAGTCGCCCGAGGCCTGCGCCACACTTACCTTCCCATTCATTATGGGTTACTCTTCGGCGTCGGAAATGCTTTACTTGAACCATAAGATGAGTGCCGACGAGGCGCTCAACTGCGGCCTCATATCGCGAATCATACCGTCGGCGCAGTTCAAGACACACGTCGACGACTGGATCTTCGGCGCCAACGGTCTCGTGAAGACGTGTTACCCGAAATCAATGCAATTCTCGAAAGCGTTGGTGAAGAACGAGGCCTTTCGCCAGAGATTACACGAAGTGAACAAAGAGGAGTGCGAGACCATCAAAGACCGGTGGCTGAGCGACGAGTGCNCGGTCGATAGGGTGTTGTCGGTGTCATCGGTGTAGTCGTTGTCGTAATTATCAATCAAAAGTCTTAAGTCGTGTCTAATGTCTCGCGATGTCTCACATTTGCAATCATTTAAAACGAGTAAAACTTTGTCTTTAATTAACTCTAGTTTTTGTAGTTTTAGTTCACATTTGGCTAACGTTTGTGTCAACTCGTGGTAGTGGTCTCTGTCGGGGATCAGCTCACAGTCATCGGTGGCTATGATTTCCATTATCTCTTAAGCGCTCATTCAGTCATAATTGAGTAAAATATTCAAAATCTCAAAACTAATCATTAGTTTGTTTTTGTGACACAAATCCAAAACACAATTAAATTGACGACAAAATGTAAACAAATATTTTGCACATAAATAACGATATGTTTGCCAAAAGGTACAGAATTTTCACAGAATTTTTCGCAGAATATGCTTTTGCTTACCGAGAGGGCACAGGTAGGCCAGGGATAGGAGGTTATTACAGTATAAGCCAGATCATGGTGGGCATTATGCAATTTAATTTACTACGATTAATATGACGTGATAATACATTATTGTTAATACTTATTATTATTATTATTTATACTTATATAACTTATACTTTGTAATTGGTAGAAATTATCGAGATCAGTTAATTTCCAATAAAGGTATAATTTCACTTTGCAGAATCACTGTAAATCAACATATAAATAAATTTTAATATATGCAGCAACATAAATTTTAAATAAACTATTGTTTTATTTTCTTAAAATTGAGTTAAAATAATACTTTGATTGCAGAATATTCCGTAAAAATAAGTTACAATTTTTCATAAATAGATGGAATTTATCGATAAATACACACAAGTTACAAAAACTTTGTATTACAGTATTAGTACGGTAAATAATTTTTTAAAACAAATGTATACTTTTGTTAACCAGGTGGTTAAATTTAATCAAGTATGTTTTTATAATATTTAAAATATTTTGTAATATTTTTTGTAATTGATAGAGATCAATTTCCGTGGTTATTAATTGATTATTGTTTATAAAGCTATGCGTTAATTTTGGAAGTCAATGATTAAATTAAAGAAAATGTAATCAATTTTATGATTAAAATATTTATATGTTTAGAAAACATCATATAATGAACACCCACTATAGTGAACATGTATCTGTGCGATTTGTATGGCCTTTTTGGGTATTATTATTAAAAATACACAATTATTTTGCAAATTAAATGCGCGGTGTAAATTTATAGTCCATTAGTTTTCTAACACTATTGACTCTATAGTGAAAACCTATTCACTCACTATAGCAAGAGCTAACTAATCAAATACATATATTGCATATAAAACAAATGAAATTAACAAAAATATTAATTCAATTAATATTCGTTAATTTATGTATTATTATAGTTAACTTACTGATCAATATCTTTCAGATTTTTACTTGCGTTTTATTATTGAAAAGTAGTCATTATTACTTGTGTTTACTTACGGTTTGTTGATTAGTGGAGCAATAAATGTGACCAAAAAACACAATTAATTGTTATAAATAATATTCATATAATGGAAACAAAATTAATTAAATCAAACGGAGTGTCTATTGAAATGAATGCTTTCAACACTTATACCAAACGCTAACTAAACATAAAAATTGTGAAAATATGGAAATCAATGAAAAAACAAATAAATTTCTCTCTCTCTCTTCCTTCACATCAGAGGAAATGGATGTGTGGGCTAACTATCCACCGGATTTTGTGACGTCAATACACTAATGATATGCAAATACTGTGTTTGTTTGTGCGGACAGTTAGTGTTTGTTGAGTATCTTTTTGGCGGCTCTGATCAGTGGTGTAATCGTCGACAGACTCTCCGCTTTCGTGAGGAAAGTGTGCGAAAGTAACTCTTCGGCTGAAGACCTCTTCTCCACATCCGTTTCCAGACAACTGAATCAAATACACAACAATTTGTATGAAAATAGCTGAACAACAAATAGTTCAGTACAAATCAATGCATTAATCAGCGCTTAACTACCCTTCCCTTCATATATGAATGGTCTTACAATAAGCTGTACTTACCGGTCCAGGAAATCAACCAATTCTGGTGACAACTTCTCCCTACTCTTCACGTCAGGCTTTCCATGAGTTGCGATCAGATATAATGCTTTCAATGGAGTTTCGTTCAAATAGGGCGGCTCTCCCTCTACCATCTCGATCACCATTATTCCTAAACTCCATACCTGTCCACACATTCATTCAAATATTAATTGTAATTAAACTTATATGATAGTGTTATTTGAAATCAAATCTCAATCATTACTAAATTAATGACAAATAAAATCAATGAAACGTAAAAGAGATGAATATTTCAGTACTACTCTAATTAGTTATTTCACACCAAATTAGCACCAAGGTATTTTCAAATATTGTCATAAAAACAATATACCGTATAATTTTTCTTATCATTGAATTACTAAAATTAGTATAAATTAGAACTCCATTTAAAATTGGATTAAATTGAATTTAAAAATTCGAGAGAGAGAGAGAGACAGACAGAGAGAGAGAGAGAGACAGACAGACAGACAGAGAGAGAGAGAGAGAGAGAGAGAGAGAGAGAGAGTCATACATCAACTTTATTTCCGTATTGTTTTCTGGAGACGACCTCCGGTGCCATCCAATAAGGAGTGCCAACCATACAATAAGCTGTACTTACCGGTCCAGGAAATCAACCAATTCTGGTGACAACTTCTCCCTACTCTTCACGTCAGGCTTTCCATGAGTTGCGATCAGATATAATGCTTTCAATGGAGTTTCGTTCAAATAAGGCGGCTCTCCCTCTACCATCTCGATCACCATTATTCCTAAACTCCATACCTGTCCACACATTCATTCAAATATTAATTGTAATCAAACTTAGACGATAGCGTTATTTGAAATCAAATCTCAATCATTACAAAATTAATGACAAATAAAATCAATGAAACGTAAAAGAGATGACTATTTCAGTACTACTCTAATTAGTTGTTTCACACTAAATTAGCACCAAGGTATTTTCAAATATTGTCATAAAAACAATATACCGTATAATTTTTCTCATCATTGAATTACTAAAATTAGTATAAATTAGAACTCCATTTAAAATTGGATTAAATTGTATTTAAAAATTTGAGAGAAAGAGAGAGAGAGAGAGAGAGAGAGAGAGACAGAGAGAGACAGACAGACAGAGAGAGAGAGAGAGAGAGAGAGTCATACATCAACTTTATTTCCGTATTGTTTTCTGGAGACGACCTCCGGTGCCATCCAATAAGGAGTGCCAACCATAGTCTGTCTCTTCTCTTCGGGTGATATCTGAGCGCAAAACCCAAAGTCAGTCACTTTGACGGACCCATCCATTCCGAGCAATACGTTATCGCTTTTGATATCTCTGTGTATTATTCCCTATAAACACACAAATCATTCAAACCCTACTGAATCTCAACACAAAACAAATGGTCAGTACTTTTGAGTGAAGAAAAGCGATGGCTTTGAGGGTCTCCTTACAGATGGCCGCCATTTGGCTCTCACGCATCACCGTCTCTGTGACCACATCCGTGAGGGCACCGCCTTCTAGGATCTCCATAATCACCCACAAGTCGTTGTCCACCAGATAGCTATCCAGATAATTCACCAAATTTGGGTGCCTGTCCACAACAAATAGATATATTTTTTAGACAATTTCTATTTCATTTGCTAACTACCGTAATTATGAATTGCTGTAAGAATTAGCGTATGAATAATTTTATTTTTTATTTTACTAATTGTGTACCGATTTTTAAATATGTGTGAGCTCTAAGAATATGTTTATTGTGTTTATCGTGATTTTATCAATAGGTTACTAAATTAATTAATAGCTTAGTGTGCCTTTAATTTAACAAATATTGACGCAATCCATTCAGCATAATTCTTTCACCCACACACTACAGTAGTTGACAATTAGATACAGTATTTTACAGAATCTTATGTAGAATAAACTTTAATAGGGTACACATCATATACTTTACGATATTGTTTAAAATTTATCAAGTTTTGATAGTTTTCGCTGTAATTTAATATCAAATCGTTTAAATTTACCACAATTTATGCAATCAATTAATAATCTCTCTCTCTCTCTCTCTCTCTCACTCACTTGCACTCACTCTTTGCTTTTCTCTCTTATTGTCAGAGAGATGTCACAAAAATATATATAAAATACTTTTTGTGAGAAAAATAAAACTAATCTTATGATAAGATAAGAGCGAAAAAAATCAAAGAATTAAACAAAATGTGAAGTATTATTGAATATAACTGTTTGTTGAGATTAACAGTTATTTTAAATGTTATATCGATTTGTCTTTAAGGAGACAAAGAAATGTATTATAAAAATATAAAACTTTTCTTTTACTAAATAAAGTTAAGTCTAAATATAAAAATTAAAATATTTTAAGAAATTGCTAAACAAACCAAAAACACAATTAGATTTCAATTAATGTTTTAAGAAATAGTTCTGCAAATTATATGATAAGAGACACCAATTAATTGGCTTTTATGACAATAAACTCATCAAAGGTTAAGAGTTCTTAAAAATTAATTTTCTCATTAATATCTCAAACTCTTGATTAAATTAAGTAATAGGATTAGTCTATAAAGTAATCCATATCCGTATATTTTTGAGTATCATATACACAACACTTGTACTTCACAGCACTATAAGACAACAAATACCACAAACAGACAGACAATCGCTTACTTGTTATCCTTCATGACCTTAATCTCAGTGATAATCAACTCCTTCTTGGGTTGTTGTGCCAAATCCATGGTCTTGATGGCCACCTTATCCTGTGTCATGTTATCGACAGCCGTATACACGGTTCCGGAGGCGCCCGACCCTAACTTCTTGACTATCTTAAACCTGGTCTTCGGGTTACCGCTGTTCACAATGGCCTTCAACTGAGTCATCACCTCCTCTTCGCTCAGCGCCTTCGGGGCCTCGGCTTTGGGTTTGCGACGGATTTGCGGCATATTTTGTTCACCATTTTGATAGTCAGCCGCCGTCTTATCGGCGCTCTTATCACTCATCTGTTGCCTCTGTTTGGCGGCCGTCGCCGGCGATGCCGTCAAATGTCCGGAACTATCGGTGAAGAAGTTCTTATTCTTCAAGTCGTTGTTAATATCAGTGATCATATCGGGCGGCGACTCGTTGTCGGAGCCCTTCTGTCTGCGGCCCTCCAACTGGTGCTCAATCTCATCGGTCTCCTGATCGATGGTCTCCTGATTGGCGATCCATTTCTCCTGCTTATTACGGATGGAATAGTTGTATACTTTGAGCGCATCCAACACCGCCTTCGGGTTCTCCAACTGTTCCGTTTGACTGATGTTCGCCTCCTGGAGCAGGTTTTGCCACGGAGTGGGCAGACCCTCGATCTTCCCGGTGTCCGGATTGAGGCCCACGTGGACGTTGTGTTTCACCAGAAACGGTGTCCCGATGTCCGATATGCGGTGCGAGTCGTCCCCCGGAGGGCAGTCCGACCTCTGACCCGCTTTGTCTCTTCGCATTTGTTTACCGCCGAAGATCTTATTCACTAATTTACTCATTGCTCACCACTTGTATCGACTTTTACGGGGTGTCCCGGGATTTGGTTTATACGGTCTCTACGGGCGATCGGCCACTGGTTTCAAACTTATCGATAATTATCACTATATGTGGCCACTTGTGACCAAAGATTTTATCATCCAATCGATGGCTAACTTATGGTTTGCGAAGACTTTTTTGTTACACCAATTGTAATCCAAATGGTGTTTCGATGTATTGCTAATAAATATGGAGTTTTATAACATTATTGTTATTTATTACACATTAATAGCACTCATTCAATAAAATTAACTAATTTATTAACTATTACTATTAGTAACTAGTTACATATAAATATTAGCTAGCATACAATGAATATATACCGTAAATAAATTAAATAAAATATAAATAAATAACTATAAACGTTACAAGTTTAAGAAATAAATATATGCTAGCACCAAATAAAAAATTGTATTATTGTATTGATTCACACAATGAAAATCTATAGAAAATCAGTATTATTTGCAATATATTTACAGTTATATGAATGTTATGATTAGTACTAACGCTAAAAGGCTATGGATTTGTCTGTCGATAGGATGTGCCGATCACTACCACCGCTATATTGATTAATTATAAGCAATTAAATACATAATAATATCAATTGAATGACTAGTTATAGAAAGTCTAAAAATGAACGCAAAATAATAACTTTTCATCAGTAATAATGAACACAAATGAATGCCAAACAACTAAGTGGAGCAATAAATGTGACCAAAAAACACAATTAATTGTTATAAATAATATTCGTATAATGGAAACAAAATTCATTAAATCAAACGGAGAGTCTATTGAAATGAATGCTTTCAACACTTATACCAAACGCTAACTAAACATAAAAATTGTGAAAATATGGAAATCAATGAAAAAACAAATAAATTTCTCTCTCTTCCTCCACATCAGAGGAAATGGATGTGTGGGCTAACTATCCACCGGATTTTGTGACGTCAATACACTAATGATATGCAAAATACTGTGTTTGTTTGTGCGGACAGTTAGTGTTTGTTGAGTATCTTTTTGGCGGCTCTGATCAGTGGTGTAATCGTCGACAGACTCTCCGCTTTCGTGAGGAAAGTGTGTGAAAGTAACTCTTCGGCTGAAGACCTCTTCTCCACATCCGTTTCCAGACAACTGAATCAAATACACAACAATTTGTATGAAAATAGCTGAACAACAAGTAGTTCAGTACAAATCAATGCATTAATCAGCGCTTAACTACCCTTCCCTTCCTATATGAATGGTCTTACAATAAGCTGTACTTACCGGTCCAGGAAATCAACCAATTCTGGTGACAACTTCTCCCTACTCTTCACGTCAGGCTTTCCATGAGTTGCGATCAGATATAATGCTTTCAATGGAGTTTCGTTCAAATA